CAGCCTCAGTATTTTGCCTGAAGTTATAAATGTGACAGGTTTATAAAATCAAGAGCAGTATCATGTAGTGGTTATAATAGCATGTTCTCTGGAGCCAGCGTGCCTGGGTTCGGACCCCTGAATCTTCCATGTGCACACTTGTAACCCTGGTAACCTTGGGCAGGTCACTATGTTCTCTGGCTGCACAAAGTCATTCTCATTTGAGAACCACCGCTCAACAGTTCTTCCCGATCGGTCTTCCTAAAATACAGCTCAGATTATGTCATTCCCTGCTGAAAAACCTTAGGGGTTTCTCCCATCAAGCTAAAAACTGTTCTCAGCCCTCCGACTGGCCCCCACTATGTTCCCTGGGGTGGGCCTCATTCTCCTGCATACGTTCTGGCTGATCTGTGAGAAGTCTTCAGGTAGAGAGGGATGCCTAGATAGATGGGTGCTAGATGGGTGGCAGCCTGACCTCACTTTATAAATGAGTAACAATTTCACTTTAAGAAACTTAACTCTTTCAACCCAGTGGGGTTGTCAGCACCCACATGCAAATCCAAAGTTTATATGGTTAGGCTTTTAAAACTTACCAAGTTCAACTTTTTAAAATTAAATTGACTGGGGTGACATTGGTTAATAAGATTATATAGGTCTCAAGTGCACAGTGCTGTGATGCATGATCTGTGTATTGCATTGGGTGCCCACCACCGGAGTCAAACCTTCTTCCATCACCTTATATTCGACCTCTTTACCTTTCACTGCCTCTACCCCCTTCCCTGTGGTCACCACCATACTGGTGTCTGTCTGAGAGTTTTTGTTTGTTTTCTTTTTTGTTCATTTGTTGCTTTCACTTTTATGTCCCACAGATGAGTAAAATTTTGTGGTTCTCAACATTTTCCGGCTGACTTATTTCACTTAGTATGATATTCTCAACATCTATGCACATTGTCACAAAAGGCATCATTCCATCTTTTCTCACAGACGAGTGGTGCTCCATTGTGTACTTGTGCCATCTTGCTTGTCCAATCATCTGTTGTTTCCATGACTTGGCCACCACGACTCTTTGGTTACTTACCAGTTCGGCCATTGGGTTTCTAATAAATAGTCCATCTTGAAACCCACAAGCAGGGTCCAGAAGGATAAAGAAGCATCAGCTCAATTCTTAGGGAATCTAATACAAGTTCCCACAGAAGTAACACCTGCTTGAGTGTGGTTTGGTAGGGTAAGGCACATAATAATTTACAGTTTTTTAAAATATTTTATTTATTTATTTTTAGAGGGAGGGAAAGAGAAAGAGGGGGAGAGAAACATCAGTGTGTGATTGCCTCTCATGTGTCCCCTGCTAGGGAGCTGGCCTGCAACCCAGGCATGTGCCCTGACTGGGAATTGAACCCGTGACCCTTTGCTTCACAGGCCCGTGCTCAATCCACTGAGCTACACCAGCCAGGGCATAATTTACAGTTTTAATCTGAACATTTCACCTAAAATGTCCTATGCTGTGCTTCAGTGTGATATTGTTACATTACAGCATTACATGCTTATGCTTTTGTAATAAAGATTTTATAATTAAAAAAGAGGCGTTATTTGTGCCGCACCCTGTATATTAACGCCAGGGCGCACCTGGAGATGAACATCTCTACACATTAGATGATTCAACATTATTTTTATTAAATTTATCAGAGTGACATTAGTTAATAAGATTATGCAGGTTTCAAGCGTACATTTCTGTGACACGTGACCTATATATTACATTGTGTTTACCACCCAAAGTCATGTTCAATTTTTTAATCTAAAAATTTAATTTTGGAAAACCCCATTAGAACATGGACACAATATCCACATATACTTAACATATTTTTAAAATAACTGTAAACATTTCTACTCATGCCAAAGTTCATTTGACAAAGGTGGGAATGGCTTCGTGGGTGTGTGGGGCATGACCTTGCCCTCGCTGGAGGCCCCTCTTTCAGAAGAACCCTGCACTCGGTGTAAAGCTCTGCGGCCACTAACTTGCAATTTCAGCAGCTTTATTTTCAAATTCCTGTTTCCTAAGTGAAGTCCTCTGGGACCGTGGGGCGTGGACGTGAATGAATGGAGGCTGCCGGAGGGCAGCTGAGCACACACACGGGGTCAGGCCTGCAGACACACATGCGCACGCCTCAGCAGGCCGGGCGCTGTGTGACCCCGAGGTGGCCCAGCCAGATCTCCCCAGACTGGCAGAGGCAACCACAGCCGTAGCTGCCCTAGTCGCCGCCTGGGAGGTAGGAGGAGCTCCCCCAGGCAGCAGGGCAGGACCCCGGGTGAGCGGCCAGCTGCCTGTCAGTTTCAGGAGCCCTTTCCTGCGGGTATCTACACAAATACCAAATCTTCCGCCCAAGTTCCAAGGCAGTGCCTGCGGAGGTAAAACAGTAAACATTGTCAGTAAATTGCTACCAAGTAGAGAATGCACACAAGCATTGCCATAAGGCAGATCAGGGACTTATTAGCATTCTTCATAGTTTACAGTGCTCAGTTTTGAAAACTGCTGCAACACTGTGAAGCAAATATCTACCAGCCTAGAAATACAGATTAAATTCAAAGATCAGCACATTTTATGGGACATAAGACCATTTTTATGTTAAGCTGTAAATGAGCTAATTATTAACAAGACCCTTTGCAATAGCATTGATGGAACTGGAGAGCATTATGCTAAGTGAAATAAGCCAGGTGGTGAAAGACAAACACCATATGATCTCACCTATAAGTGGAAGCTAATCAACCAAACAAACAAGCAAGCAAATTATAGCCAGAGACATCGAAATTAAGAACAAACTGACAGTAACCAGAGGGGAGGTGGGAAGGGACAATGGGGGAAATGGGAGGAAGGGTTTTCAGGAGTAACTATAAAGGACACATGGACAAAACCAAGAAGGGGTAAATCAGGGGAAGAAGATGGGGAAGGCTGGGTTTGGGGGGACTAGTGGGCGAGATATGCAGACAACGGTACTTGAACAGCAATAAAATAATTTTAAAACAACTATTAACAAGAAAGACAATTTTTTAAAAATTAATTTGTTGTCATTGAAAATAAGGGAATAGACTACGTAAACATAAATTTTGGATTCCATGTGAATCATGGAACTACTTTTGGTTCCCTGTGTGACCTCGGCAAGTTGCAGGCAAGGTCAGAGGAGATGTGAAAACGCCACAGCACTTAAATTCAGCGCAAAGGCCACATTAGGGGTCTCTGCTGTGATTCGGTTGTTCTGTGTCCTGACTGTGTTGAGAAATACGAAGACCTACACAGGCAATAAAACTGCATGAAACCAAATACACAAATGAGTACATGTAAATTACTGAGGTATGAATGAGATTACTGGATTGTGTGCATGTCAGTTTCCTCATTGTGATATTGTGACATTTTATTATCATTTTGCAAGATATAGCCATTAGAAGAAACTGGGTGAAGGATGTATCTCTATTATTTTTTACAATTTGCATTTTAATATATAATTATCTCCAAATAAAAGATTTGATTTCAAACATCACATTTACATGTACCTTTAAATTATTTCTATGAAGTTACATTTCTATAGAAAGTTGTTCTATAAGAAGAAACTCCAGATGTATTAATATTTATGTATTAAAATAATTTATCAGAAGTTTACCCCAATATTATCACAGCCCACAAAATGCTCTGAATAGCTCCAGTAATAGTTGCATGAACAGAAAGATCTTTCTGGAAATTAAAAAGTATCGACAGTCATTTGTGGCCTTGGTTGCCAAAAGCAACTGATGTCACTTTTGACTCTATCATTAAAAATGAAGTCACTAATTGTATAAATTTTGATGACCTAAGAAATTAATTTGCAGAAAAGGAAGCCAGAAATCATGTATGATCAATCAGGATGTCACAATAATACTGTATTATTATTTATTGTAGTACATATAATTATACCAAAATATTAGCTATTGAGATACATTTTTGTTATTACTCATCTGTCCCTTACCCCGGTAAGTTTTATAAGTAATAACATATTTTAAAGGAAAACATTTATATATTAGTATCTTTAACAATGTGGTTTTTTCCTGAGTTCTGAAAGGCACAACTTTCCATTTGCAGGTGGCCTCATAAATCATATAAGTCCTGGGTTAGGGAGTGTGATGCTTATTTTTGTAGAATTGAGCTTGGAATAAAGTTTCGAAATGACATCAGAAATTGCATCTAATAACTAATCTCAGAAGTCAGCTTTTTCTTTATCCCACAGGTAAAGAAAAATCTTCCAGGAGGTTTGCCAAGATATTATTTTGCTTATTTTATTTTATATTTTTAAGTATTTTTTTCAAAAGCCAACAAGATTTATTCTCCATCAACCTAGACATTTGAATTGGAATGTACCTTACTCTGAGAGAGGGCATAGAGGAAGTCTTTCCACTTACCAGACCAGTATTTCAAAATATGTTTGCTTTTCCATTTAAGAAATATGGGATTAACGACTACTGCAATAACATGTCAATTTGGATTTAAAAAATCAAAACCTCATCGTTTTGATCAAAATTCCTCCACTTAGTCTCCCCGGGTTCACACCCATCTCAGCTAACAAATGCATTTCTAGACAACGGCCAGATTCCCTAGGAACTTGGAATGAGCATAACAACATTCGTCCCGGGCATTTTTATGTGACTCTCACACCGTTGTCCCAAAAGCAACTGTAGTTTTTTTTTTTATCTTTAGAGGGGAAGGGAAGGAGAGAGGGAGAGAAATATCAATGTATGGTTGCCTTTCATGCATCCCCTGCAACCCACCCCGGACTAAAAATTTCACTAGCTACACAGCCAGGGGAGTAACTGTAGTTTTTAAAACAACAAACCTGAAACAGAGTAGAAAGGCATACCTTAACAGCGCAGTACTTCTATGCCCTAGCGCCAGGCAAGCTTCCGAAAGCATCAAGTCCCGAGAGCATCCATCAGGAGAGATGCCTGAGTACACGCTGCTGTCCCACTGGCTCAGGCTGCTTTCTTCTTCTCTTCCGCTCCAGAACGACTCCTGGGGAAAGCAGTACTCCTACGCACTCTTCAAAGCCATGAGTCACATGCTGTGCATCGGGTATGGAGCCCAGGCTCCGGTGAGCATGTCCGACCTCTGGATCACCATGCTAAGTATGATCGTCGGGGCCACCTGCTACGCCATGTTCGTGGGCCACGCTACAGCTCTCATCCAGTCTTTGGATTCCTCCAGGCGGCAGTATCAAGAGAAGGTAATTGCTTTTGTCTCTAATATCTCCAACCAGCTATTTCGTATATGGAACTAATAGTGTTCAAGCTAACTAACCTGTCTCCTGTATCAAAAAGGGTAATGACAGCAAATGTTTAAAACAGGAAAACACTATTTGTTTGGATATTTTTAGGTTTCTTCAAGCTGGTCCTTATAGCTTTTCTTTGTTTCCAATTTATTTCGTGAGTAATAATTGTTTTAAAAGCTCTGAATTTGCATTCACTGGGAAGAATAGTTATATGTTTCAAAGTGCATAAAGCTGATTCACACGATTCATGTTCTACCGTATTTCCTTAGCACTGGAGCAAGCCTCCTGGAGCACATGTGGAAATGTCAACCGAGTACATGGGGACAGCCACCCATTGCCTGTGCCTCTGCCCATTGTGATCATAATTTACATTCTAATCTGTGTGCTTAGGGGAACCTGTGATGCCCTCGCATCTATATACGTCACAACAGCCTCCAGTCTTCAAATTGTGTATTAACAGCTGCTACCATGCAGCCTTACACACTGTCTTTTAATTGAAATGATTGCGGCTCGAGACTTCTCAAAAAAAAGAGTAAAAGCAGATGTATCAACGATTTATTCATGTATTTTTTTCATATGCCGAGGGACTTCGCCTGAGGCTAGGCCTTGGACCATCACACAGCACTTGGATTCCTGACCAAACACTGGTGCCTTTCTGATGGGGGAAAAAAGAATGAAATAATTTACTATACGGGGCTCTGTTGGACCTGGCGGGGTAGGTAGTGTATGCCTTGCCAAAGAGCATTTGGAAAGGAAGAGTTCAAGTCCTTCCAGAACATTTCTCCTGGTGAGTGACCACAGCTTAGACTTGCCCTTGCTCATAGAACAGCCAGAGATCGTCTTGGCTTCATTCACAGAGGGGCCAAGCACTATAATGACACAATAGGAGAAAGGAAACATAGGTACTTTATTTCCCTCAAAAGTATTTACATGGCTGCCACGGAGCAAATGGGCATTTTTTTTTATGTTTATTTTTTTTTTAATTTTTTTTATTGATTATGCTGTTACAGTTGTTCTATTCCCCCTTTATTCCCCTCCACCCTACCCCTCATCCCCACCATTACCCCCCCTTTAGTTTATGACCATGTGTCTCCAAGTCCTTTAGATTCTATATTTCCCATGCTATTCTTGCCCCCCCCCCTCTATTTTCTATCTACTGTCTATGCTACTTATTTTCTGTACCTTCTCCCCCTTCTCCTCCTCCCACTCCCCTGTTGCTAACCCTCCTTGAGATCTTCATTTCTATGTTTCCATTCCTGATCTAGCTGTCCTTTTAGTTTGCTTTCGTTTTAGGTGTGGTTGTTAATAACTGTGAGTTTGTTGTCCTTTCACTGTTCATGTTTCTTTAACTTCTTTTTCTTAGATAAGTCCCTTTAACATTTCATATAATAAGGGCTTGGTGATGATGAACTCCTTGAATTTGATCTTATCTGAGAAGCACTTTATCTGTCCTTCCATTTTAAATGAAAGTTTTGCTGGATAGAGCAATCTTGGTTGTAGGTCTTTAGATTTCATGACTTGGAATACCTCTTTCCAGCCCCTTCTTGCCTGGAAGGTCTCTTTTGAGAAATCTGCTGACAGTCTGATGGGGACTCCTTTGTAGGTGACTGTCCCCTTAGCTCTTGCTGCTTCTAGGATTCTCTCCTTCATTTTAATTTTGGCTAATGTAATGATGATGTGCCTTGGTGTGTTTCTTCTTGGGTCCAACTTCTTTGGTACTCTCTGAGCTTCCTGGATTTCCTGGAAGTCTATTTCCTTTGCCAGATTGGGGAAATTCTCCTTTATTATTTGTTCAAATAAGTTTTCCACTGGTGGCTGTGCCTTTCCCCCTTCTGGTACCCCTATAATTCAGATGTTGGGGCGTTTAAAGATGTCCTGGAGGTTCCTAAGACTCTCCTCATTTCTTTGAATTCTTGCTTCTTGACTCTTTTCTGTTTAGCCATTATTTGCTTTCTTCTGGTCCACTCCATTGATTTGAGTCCCAGTTTCCTTTTCATTGCTATTGGTGTCCTGTGCAATTCCATTCATTTCAATTAGTTTCGCCTTCATATATTTGTCTAATTTGTGGCTATAATCAACCAGTTCTGTGAGGATCCTGATCACCAATGTTTTAAACTGTGCATCTGTGAGTTTTGCTATTTCTTCATTGCTTAGATCTATTGGCTCTGGGGCTTTGAGATCCATCTGCACCATTCTTGGTCTGTTCGGGCCCTTTAAGTGTGAGAAGGGGCGCCTTGGATTTCCAGGTCACTGGGTTGTGACGCTATATGTGGGGGCGTGGCCAGAGCGGGGAAATGGCGACCCCCTCTGCCGCTTCTCACAGCTGGGTGCGGAGGAGCAGTGCCTTAGGTGGTTCACCTGGGCTGGGCCGCTCAGAGTCGCTGGGTTATGACGCTGTATGTGGAGGTGGGGTCAGAGCAGGGAAATGGTGGCGCCCTCCACTGCCGCTTGCCGTGGGGACCTGCCGGCCCGGTCCAACCGCCCTCTCCCTCGCCTGTCCACCCTCGCACAAATGCGCGATCTCAGTCAACACGCAGCCCCAGGCCCGGCTGTCTCCCCCGAGGTCGCTCGCCTGGTCGCTGGGTCGCTCACTAGGTCTGACCCTGCGCCTGGATTCCGCGGGCCGAGTCCTCCTGTGCAACCCTGCTCCGCCAGCCGCTGGTTTCGCCCCTTACCGGTCAGGCTGAAGAATTTGTTGTTAACGGACTTCCGAAAAGTTCAATTTTCCGTGTTCTGGCTGTGTTTTCTGTCGCTAATATTTAGTTTTCTCTAATCTTGGTTGTGTGAGAAGGCACGGCATATCCACCTATGCCTCCATCTTGGCGGAAGTCCGCAAATGGGCATTTTTTATACATTTATTTATTTATTTATTTGTTCAGTGACAGTTGTCCCCATTTTTCCCCATTACTCTTCCCTGCCCTATCTACCACCCACCTACATTTAATCCCTTCCCTCCACCCCTGCTGTTGTCTTTGTCCATGGGTCTTATATATGCACGTTCCTTGACTTCCCTTTCTTTCCCCCATTATCCCCCTTCCCCCTCCCCTCTGGTCACTGTCAGTTTGTTCTTTATTTCCAAGTCTCTGGTTCTATTTTTGCTTGATTATTTGTTTTGTTGATTAGGTTCTACTTAAAGGTGAGATCCTATGGTATTTGTCTTTTAACACCTGGCTTATTTCACTTAGCATAATGCTCTCCAGTTCCATCCATGCTGTCACAAAGGGTATAAGCTCCTTCTTTCTTTCTACTGCATAGTATTCCATTATGTAAATGTACCATAGGTTTATGGTACATAAAATAAGTCTTTGCTATGGTCTCATACAGTTCCTAGAATATATGAATATAAGTCAACCTACCATAGGAAAACAGATGCTTAGTGGGTCAACTCTTTTATCTTATTTCACTACCCCTTCTTCCCTCTGGTAGTGGAAAGCCAGGCACAGTGGCACATCCAAAGAGAAGAAGAAAAAAAGAACTCTGCTTATCATACCATCAAAATTACATGGATATGTTAAATATTAATGGCAGATTCTACCATTAAAAGGTAGGACTTCAGAGTCTGTCACAGGCGAGAGCTCCCATTCATTTCCTGATGGGCACTTAGAGTGTTTCTAGCATTTGACTATTGTAAATAATGCTGGTATGAACATTGGGGTGCATAGATTCTTTTGAATCAGTGTTTTAGGATTCTTCGGGTATAATCCCAGCAGTAGAATTGCTGGGTCAAAAGGTAGTTCCATTTTTAGTTTTCTGAGGAAATTTTATACTTGTTTCCACAGTGGCTGCACCAGTCTGCGTTCCCACCAACAGTGCACTAGGGTTCCCTTTTCTCCACATCCTCTCCAGCACTTGTCGTTTGTTAATTTATTAACGATGGCCATTCTGACCCCTGTAAAGTGGCTTCTCTTTGTGGTTTTAATTTGAATCTCTCTGATGGCTAGTGATGCTGAGCATCCTTTCTTATGTTTATGGGCCCTCTGTATGTCCTCTTTGGAGAATTGTCTGTTCAGGTCCTTTGCCCATTTTTTAATTGGATTGTTTGTCTTCCTGGAGTGGAGTCGTGTGTGTTTTTTATATATTTTAGAGAACAAACCCTTGTCTGAGGTATCACTGTCAAATATATTTTCCCATACCATTGGCTCTCTTTTCATTTTGCTGATGTTTTCTTTAGCCATGCAGAAGCTTTCTAATTTGATGTAGTCACATTTGTTTATTCTTTCCTTCATGTCCCTTGCTCTAGGAGACATATTGGTGAAAATATTGCTGCATGGAATATCTGAAATTTTCCGGTCTATGTTTTTCTGTAGGACTTGTATGGTGTCATGACTTATATTTGTCTTTTATCCATCTTGAGTTTATTTTTGTGTATGGTGTAAGTCAGTGGTTTGGGGTTTTTTGTGTGTGTGTAGCTGTATTTTATTACTGAAGTAATGAAATGATGAACTATTAGAATTGCTTCAAGGTTCAGTTTAAAATAAAACCTCCAGCCTGCTGTAGCTCAGTGTAATGAGTGCTGGCCTGTGAATCAAAGGATCACAGTTTGATTCCCAGTCAGGGCACATGCCTGGGTTGCAGGCCAGTTCCCAGCAGGGGACGCACGAGAGGCAACCATACATTCATATTTCTCTCCTTCTCTCCCCTTCCCCTCTAAAGATAAATAAATAAAATCTTTAAAAAGAAATAAAGAAATAAATTTTAATAAAATAAAGCCTCCAATTCAGTTGTAAAGAACAAAGCTCATAGCAAGGAAGAAGAGAATTAGTACAATGCTGATTTGTCTCTCAAAGAATTTGGGCTAAATGTATGGGTATTTACTATAAGACTATAACGCAGTGTACATTTCTGTTAAACTGTTTCTTTTTCCCTTTTAGTTGATATTTCTTTTCATAAAAAAATGCTCCTTTCTGACCTCCTTTTTGTCCACACCATTGCTACTACATATTTTCTTTAAAAGA